GCCGCGGGGAACCTTGGAGACGCCGCTGGGCGGGACCGAGGCTGCAGTGCCATTGCATGAGCACCGAAGGGAACGGCGGGAGCTGGGTGGACAGCCATTGGCTGGGGCGAAAATACGGTGCAGCGATGATGTGTCGGGAGTGCGCTGAAGGAATGGGAACAAGTATTGGCATGGAGGGAGTGTGGGTAGCGTATACCTGTTGCATGGCAGTGTACTGTGCACCCTGCCACTGTCCAGTGGTAGGGTGGTGATCAGTTTGGGTGGGTACAGAAGGCTTGCCACGTCTATTCGTGCTGTTTGTCAATCGTGGAGTTTGTCCAGTCCCGCCAGCTTGGTCAGTGTCCCATAGTTTGCAGAGTTCTTCGCCTATTTTAGGCTGCAGCTCCTGCAGAATATGAGCATGTTTGTGATTCTTAGATTTCCAATTCTTATTTCAGTCTTGGCACAATTCATCCGCAAACCACTAATTTATTATATTCATTTGAGCTGCGCAAGGTAAGTTACGAAATATAATCTACTGAATTAGCCGTGAAAAAGCATAGAAATGCTCGCAGTAGCTGGCTTTTCGTGCTTTTTACCTAAAAATAGGTCATTGTGTGTATGGAGGTCATTACAATAGAATGCGCGGATAACTCAAGTTTGAAAAGTTATTCTACGCTAAAGATATGACATGAAATGAGGTGGTCTATTGGGAGAAGATGTGAATAAAATACGGTTGATGAATTTAAGCACTGAATTTTGGATAAATTTCGATTTATTTAATTCACCACCTCAAGCTTCCAAGGATATGCCATCATCGCTTGCCTCTGTAATTGCTAAAAGGCGATTGTTGGGCTTATGCCCTTACAATTACTCTGACATCGATATCTTTGCAACTTAATCTTTGCATCACAAGCTAACATCACACGTTACTAGGCAACCACGAAATTTGGAAATTAGCATATTTTTATTATTTTTTTATTTAATTCACCACCTCCGGCTCCTTAAGATATGCCATCATTGCTTGCCTCTGTAATTGCTAAAAGACGATTGTCGGGCTTATGCCCTTACAGTGACTCTGGCATCGATATCTTTGCAAGTTTTAATCTTTGCATCACAAGCTAACGTCACACGTTACTAGGAAACCACGAAATTTGGAAATTAGCATATTTTTCAGTGGGAGGTCACGCGAACAGAGTACAAAAACATTTTGGTTTTGCTTTGAAGTTTCTGCAAGCGGAGATCTTCGCGTTAAAACAGCACAAAGATGGTGGCCCATTCTAGTATTCTCCTCTCTAAGTGTTCCCAGTTCCGTAGAGAAGGAGAATTTATCGACATACGTTTGAAAGTGGGTGATACACTTTTCCCAGCTCACCGAGTTGTACTTGCTTCGTATAGCGATTATTTCCACTCCATATTTACAGATGGGAAAGAAGCGAACCAGGAAGTGATCGAAATGAAAGAAAAAAGTATTTCACCGGAGATATTCAAGATTATTATGGACTCCATCTACATTGGTGATCTTCATGTCAACCAGAAGAGCGTATGTGAGGTTCTTCTCGCAGCTAGTCAGCTTCAAATAACAAGTGTTGTTCAACTGTGTTGCGATTTCGTATTGAAGGAATTCACAGAAAACAGAATTGACCTGAAAAACTACTCCGTGTTGTGTACGGTTGCCGAAGGACTCGGTCTGAGAGATCTGCAAGAGGTAGCAGAGGCCAAGATGGCATCCATGTACAAAGATGTTTGCGAAACTAAAGAATTCCTGACTCACATCAGTGCAGATCAACTACTCAGCCTTCTTGGTCGAGATGACCTCAATTCACCCTCTGAAGCTTTCGTATTCAAATCAGCGATGAAGTGGATCAAATACAAAGGGGAAGAGAGGATGGCAGTTGCTGGAAAAGTTATCGGAGCAGTTCGTCTGGGGCTGGTAGACGTGAAGGTTGTGATTGAAGAGTTGAAAACAGAAGAAATGCAGCGATTTCCTGAGGTAAACATGCATCTGCAAGAATCCATGATGCATCACATCATGCCTTCTCATGTGTTTGCCGCTGAGAAAGTAAAACCTCGATCAATGAGACCGGTGAGTGAAAAGCTAAGCTCTTTAACTGCTTCCTTTATCTAGAACGCAGCTTTTGTCGATATCTCACTTGTTTCACTACAGCACACTGAGTTTCACAACAACTGGCTCCAAGTTTTGAAATTTCTGGAGCGTCATTTGCATGTTAATTCGTTGTCCTGATTCTATCAGCGACAGAGTTCGATGATTTTCGTTGAGAATTAGTCAATTAGTCAGTCTGACACTTGATCAAGAAAGCAAGTTTTCATCTATGCTCTGGGTATCTATATTTACACTAACCCAGAGACTGCATGTCGTGTTGTCCGTACCGTGATCGATTAAAACCATTTCAATAAAAATATACGTGCGCAACAAATTAACCATCTACTCTAGTATATTTTTTAGCCTTAAATTAAATACTTTCTGTGAAAAAATATTCCAGAATGTCAGCTGAAAAAAGGGATTTTCAAACAATTGTCTCTTGTTTTAGGTGCTCGTTGCCCTTCACCCTGAGATGCATCTAAGTGTTCCCGAGGATGATGATGATGCAGAGGGCATCGAGTACGGTGCGTATGATCCTTACTCACCACAGTGTTTAGCTTATTACTTTGATGTCGAAGCGAAGTTATGGAAACCTTTGCCATCTGTAGCTCGATTAGAAGTAAGTTACTTTTGCTTTTGCACTGAACGCATTGGAAACTACTTATTTGTAGCTGCACATACGCGGCTGAACATTAATTTAATACATCGATATGATGTGGTAAATAACTCATGGGTTGAATTACCAAAATACGGAAACAACCACAGAGTTGACTGCTTGTGTTCTGTTGGTGACTATCTTTACGCCATAAGTGAGTCAAATCCTCCTCAAAGGTACAGTTTGACGAATAACAGTTGGCAAGGTGGGGAACGCTTAAAAGTAGACGAAGACAAGGAGAGTTTAAGTACTGTATCAGCAACAGTAATGAACTCTAAAATGTATGTAATTTATGGTTATAAAAAAAGGGAAGGTGATAGAATATTCTCCAGTTCGGTCATTAAACCAGCTGTGGTTTATTGTTTTGACCCAAGATACAATGTGTGGACAAAACTTGCGTCAACCTGCCATCCTCATTTTGAATCCAGTCTTTTTGTTGTCAATAACAGACTGTGTGTAGCGGGGGGAAGTATTGATGGTTGCTCTGAGCACCAGGCACCTGTGGAAGTGTACGATGAAGGTACTAACACCTGGTCTGTAGTGCCTCAGAAACATATTCCCCCAAACAACTTGGGTGCAGTTGAAATAGAGGGGAGGGTGTATTTCATCATCTACAAATTTCCAGTTGACAGTGGGATAAGAATTCCACCTGAGGAAATGTATCAAGTTGACTTAAGTGACTGGGAAAACTTAGCTAAAGTCCTTGATAGTGGAGCAGTTTTGTGTTACTTGCCAGTCAAGGGAGAAAACTTGAAGGGAACTTAGCAAAGGGAATAGTTTTATATCAAAATGGATGACACTTGCATTTAATTTTAGGCCCTCGGTGGTCGTTTTTGTTCAATGGGTTTAGGTACAGTAGTGAAACTCACTTATTTCTAAAAACAAGGAAAGTGAAGAATCCTCGTGCGTTTTTATACCCTTAATCGATCGATTTTTTAGATTTGCTTTTCACCATTTTCCTATTCAATAATTTGTATTTCAATATAAGGTGAAGTGTACGTAGACATGGTATCCGTAGAACTGTCAATGTGTTCCCCGTTGTAGAGGAAATATCTGAGCCGGAAATTAGAATTAATATTTTCAGGTTAATAGAAATTTGGGTCCTTTTCAATGACATCCTTATTGGATCCGAGTAGCATTTAGATGTAAAGGAACAGCTTAACAGGACTTAGCTTAGCGCTCTATAAAGTAAAGTAAATTCGATTTTGCCGTGTATCTGTTTAGTTGTAGATAAAAGCAGGTTACGTCACGATACGGTAATAACAGTAAATTGGCGCACGAACCGTTAGTGAGTTTATCACATATCAGTCACGCAGAAATGAAATGAATCTGGTTCATACAATGAACATGTAGATATGTTCCTGATTTGGTATTTTTCAAGTAATCTAGAGATTGGTCTCTTTTTCTAGCTTACAAGCAGCTTCTGGCTAAACTATTTCTAAAGCCCTTAAATTGTGATGTCAGCTGTGCGTCTGTTTTCTAATAAATTATAGATAAATAAACAATAGCCTCTACTTAGCGCGAAAATATACACGGATATTTGACATTATCTGTTTCAAGATGCGAATAGTATTCCGAGAGCGAAGCTCAAGGAAAACTGTGAACTTCGAGAAACAGATAATGTCCAAGGACAAATATACGAATATGTTTTCGCACAAAAAGAAGCTATTGTGTTTATTATCCTTTAAATATTTTGCAACGCGTGTGAAAATATGTTTACGAACAGCTTACTGTTTGGAGCGTAATACTTTTTCTCTTGAGCGTTCTCCGGCACGACTTCATGAACAAACGAATATATCTCTTATTCTGCAGCAACCATAAAACGCCCTCTCCCATCTCAAATTTAAATTTTGAACGAAAATCTATCGTAGTGGATGTAAGGCTTGAAAAATTGGGAAATATCACTTTGGTGATATCCTCGGATATCCCCCAGTTTTAGCTGGGGAATATTCGGTAACTTGATGCGTCTAGGTTTATCGCACGCGAGCAAAAGTAGTTGATGGATCATAATGACCATTGACAGAGTGCGTGATATTTGACTGCATAAAAGTCTCTATAACGATTATTCAACAGATATGTCCGTTAGAGGTTTATGTTCTTTAAAGCGGACAGGATCAATGTCACCACTCTGTATATTGATAAACGTGAAAGGTTGTTATTTAACTTGTTATGTATTGTTCAAGGTTTAATATGTTTTTATTACCTCACCTTTCAATAAATTTCAATTAATTTCTGGGTAAAATTGGCTACCTATATTTGTGA